CAGCAGTTCTCTTCTGGTTGTCTTGTTCTGTGCCTTATGTTTGCCTAGTGAAAATATGTGATCAGCCAAAGTACGGTTCTTTTTTTGTTTATAAGTTTTATAGCATCAATAATAGCTTTTGAATATGCTTTTATTCTTCTCCTTCATCTTCTTCCATCATCAATTTTCATCTCAAAAAAACTATTCACAGCACATTCTGCAGTCTCTCGTTCTGTGTCCAACTGAGAACAGTTATAGGATGGTGTCTTCATAGATGTTTTTTTTCTTTTGTATGCTTAATTTCAAGATATTGACATTCTCTTTGTTTTAACGTAGCCAGTGAGAAATAGCAGGAGGAGAGTAGCAGAGGATGCTGTTCTGACTATTGATTTTCTTGTGCCTTTTTTTGGTTCATTAATTCCTCTAACAATTGCTTCTGAGGTAGCTGTCTGTGTGTGACCCCTACTAGCCAGCAGAATAGGGTCTGTCGTGGCTAGGTGAGGCTGTAGCTAATAATGTCAACTTCACCTTCTGAATTCTTCTGCCAAGAAGTTACTATTTAGTGTCCTGGGAGCAATACTGAGTTCTCTGCAAAGAGTGAAATACCTTACTTTTGAATATGTCATTGTTACTCTTCCACAGAGCATGTAAATGCCAGAAGTGCATTTGCACTGCATTTATTGAAGCCAGCAGTTTCATGAGAGAGACAAGAGGGTGAGACAAATGGAACATTGCAGAGAGGAGCCCTGTCTATGAGTTATTTGTATGGAAGCAGGATTTTCACTGCTTTCACTGGTATTGGCTGGTATTGCTATCGTGTCCCTATCAGCTATAAGAAAAATCACAACTGCCTAGTACTGTGTATCATGATTGTTAGAAAGCACCAGGCTGAAGTGAGACCCTTACTAATTCTGCAATCTCTGTAGATAATGCCTCTTGGTGTAAGTAGAAGAGGGTGCATTTTGGAATGCAGAAGGGATTCGCTGTTGTGTGTAGGAGTTGAGTGAAGTGGTAGTGAAAATAGAGCAATAATGGTAAAGCTGTTTCTCTGGCTTGTGAGTCCCTTTTCTTCCTGTAATTTTTGAGGAAGAGAGCTGTGATAATAAATTTGTAAGGAGAAGTTGCTGATTTTATTCCAGTTGTAATTATTTCATTAACAATATCTGCATGTTGAATATAGAGTTTGGAATTTTTTGTTTTGTTTTCACAACCTAGGTGTGAATATCACAGTAGAACCTCTGGGACACCACGCATTTTTCTAGATGGCTTTTCTGAGGCTGTTTAGAGCCATGGAATACAGTTGAAAGGCTGTGGTTCACAGATAGAAAAGTGATTTGTGCACTGTCTGTAACATATACCTTTTTTTAATGATATCTTATATCTTATATGATGTACATAATACATGTAGTCACTTTATCATGAGGATACTGATAAGGGATAATAATATCCAGTCATTGATTCTAATGTTGATCTTCAAGAGAAGTATTTTATTTAAAAGTAGAAAAATGTTGCTTGCACATTTTCCTGACTGCCATTTAAGTTAGTCTGTCATGCCTGGTCTGATTTAATTTGTTTTGACAGTAAAGGTTTACAAAACAGAAGAAGTCAGGTATTATGAGAGAATCATGAAATTTACTTTGATGGGGAATATCTCTTTTCATGGATAAAAGAAAGAAACTGTGTCAGTGGCTGAAGCCTATTAATAAATATTTGTCTAATCCTATTGTTTGTCTTGGTTGGTCAGCTTTTTCAAGATTTAAGTTACTATGTCTTAGAAGAAAGAATCATGCTCTTTGTCCCTCAGAGCAGCTTGAGTAGACTCCATCAGATTGGCCTTGTGCTTTCATTCTGCCTTTCCCCAGGTGTGCAAAACAGGGTAGAGCGCTAGGGGTTTGTTGATGGCATGTAGTCCTGCCTCAAATTGCATAAACATGTGCAGTCCCAAATAGCTTTGTGTAACATGTTCCCTAGCCAGTAGAGTTAATTGCCAAAGTGTAGTTTTTTAGTATCTGGTGTTGTCTATTTTGCTTTCCTAGAAGAAACAAATTTAACTACTGAGAAGTTTTCTATAACTGATGGCAGAAATATTTGTAATTGGTAGGTCTCTAATATGTTGAGACTTCTTCTGGGGAGGGTACTGCTGAGTTTTTTACAGATAGAAGCCAATCTTTGTACCTCATTTCAAAGCCCAGAGCTATAGAAGCCAGTCTTTGTACATCATTTCAAAGCCCAGAGCTATGTGAGGCCTTATGTGAGGGGAGTAAAAGGAGAAGTTTTTTCATAAATAAACTTCACATGCAATATTTTAGCATTAAGGTCTTCTGAATGTGTTGTTGTTGCAGCAGTGGTTGGGTTCATACATAACTTTTCACTGTATAAATAAAAAGTGAATGGCAGCCTTTGTTAAAATAAGGATGTTTTAATTTATGAAGCTTAACAAATCAGGAAATAGCAAAAGAAAAGCACAAACTTACTTCACAACTTCAGCCATTCCCCATAATGTTTACATTTTGTGGTGGTTTCAGGTGTTTTAAATCCAGATTTTACATTATTGAAGATATAACAGATACTATTCTTTTGCTTTTTCGTACTGTAAAATAATTGTTCTGTTGTAGGAATGCAATGATGTCATAGATGCAAAAGGTACTTTTACAGATGACAGGTGTAGAGCCTTATTTAGATAGACATTACTTGATTTCAAGAGGAGCTTGTTTTGGTTTAAGCAGGCTTATGGTACAAATTTCACATCTCTGATTCCAAGTAATGCATAAATATGCCATCTGTAAATGCTGCCACGTTATCACAATTCACTAAAATGCTCACCAAAATTTTTCTTCAGTCATCCATCATGATTCCATCTGTAAAAATTTTGCATTAGATTTTATTTTGCCAACATTGTCTTCTGGTACAAAGAAATGTTAATGTCAATGAAATGTTTGTAAATGAAATTAAATGTTTGGAAATACTATTTTAAGGGTTATAATTTTCAGAACAAGAGCAGGCAATGGCATCAGATTTTTTCTTTTTTTAAGGAAAGATGTATTTATCCACAACAATTGCTTTGAGGACACATCATAATATTGTGTTAGTACAAAGAGTGCCATGCATAATTTTCTGGCAAATCTGTGTGATAGGGTAGTTCTCATAGTTACAGAGATCTTATTTTCAATCTGTCTTTGTTTTCCTTGTAAGGTTGTATCAAAGCTAGCTCCAGTCTATTCTCTTTCTTTGCACATGAGTGTCTTTAGCATTTTACTTAAAGCATTAAAACCATGTGTTCAATACCTTGTTGTGTTGCTTTTTTTTATGAGATGCAGCTGTTCCCATCTTTGTATTCTCCACCACACCCACCCTGCAAGCAAACCTTGTTCTTGAGGTTGGCTTATCAGGAGCTCCATATCTGTAGCTGCTGTTTCAATGCATGTAGTGCAGTCTGTTCACTGATTTCAGAGAAGTCTTTCAGCTCACCTCCTTCTCTGTTAATGTACTAGGTTTATGTGTTCAGAATACTGTTCTGTATTTGCAGCATGCTGGATTGGATCAAATATTGAGGAGCTGTCCTAATAACTTATATTAGTATAGCAGATAAATTATAATGATTCTGGCTTTTTAAAAAAAAAAATTACTCCCCTTTTATTCTTTTTTTTTTTTGTCCTTCTTTTGGTAAAGAGACCAAAGCAGTTTCATACATTATTTGGCATCAGCTTTGGTGCAAATACAGGTTTACCAAGGAGGGAAGTAGAGGTGTTCTCTGGTTATTACTGATGGTAGAAATGCTGAAGAGATAAGACAGCAAGTTTTAAAAATTATTTCAGGCAGATCTGCAGCTATCAGGTGTTCTTAGAAAGAAATGGCTCAAACCTTAAAGTGTAAGTGTAGGTTTGAGGTGCTTGTTGGTCCATCTCCAAAGATTGGGTCCTTTTGCAGTCAGTGGTGGTGTTGCCTTCTGTTGCCTTTGTCACTATCACACTCTTATGATCGGACACACTTGGACTTTACATCTCCTGGTTAAGCACACAGATAGCTAATATACCCACTGTCAGCCACCAAATGGGCAAAAAATTTTCTTTCTCAGAGCAGCCATCAACCAGTGAGCATCTCTGATGATGATTAATATGGAAAAGTTAAGTTAATGCCATCTTAAATTTAATCTTTCCTTTCTATTATTCCAGTTCAGGGACAAGATGAACTACTATTACTTCACATGAAATCCTAAAATGGTACCGTCATTTTCCTGATTTCCAGAACTTACCATATATGTAATTCCAGGGTGAAAAGGCCCCCTTTGCATAGGCTGCAGTGGTCCATTTGCTGCAGGATCCACTCAGGAGTATCTGGAGAAACAAGGCCCCTCGCCTGAAGCTCTTCTGAGGGGTTTAGCCGGTGTAACAGACCATAGCACTCTGACTGACTGACAGAAAGCCAAGTGCAGTTGTTGGGAAACAGCCCAACAGTGATAGATCACCCCAGTGATGTACCTCATTTTCAAGTTGGCTTGTATTTTGATACCAACCAGCCAAGTCTCAACTTTTGTTAGCTGTATGTAGCCCTGTTTTATATATATCAGATATTATGAGGCTGTACCTACTGAATGCCTGTCTGGCAATCTCCAGGGGGCATTACACAAGTTTATGGAAAAACCCTGACATGGCTTTTTAAAACCAGAAATAGGACCTCATTTAATGAGCTGAGTTAATTCAGTTGTGTCAAGTGTCCATTGAAAGGTGTGCAGTAAAGGGAAGGGTAGATTTTGTCAGAAGTTGTTAAAATGTGTTTAGAATGGTGCTGCATATGGGACAATGTTTGAAGCAAATAATACACTCAACTAAGGAAGGAAAAGCAGTCTTCAGTGTTTTCTTTCCATTGAGTGATCTTACATTTCTGTCTGGTTTTCATTTGTGATTCTATCTGCATTTCTTCTTAAATTAGGACAATATTTGATTTCTTTATCGTAGGATGCCTTCTTTAGTACCAAGTTACTTAGGGCTTCCTATGGTATCTCTGTCTGCTTTATTTTCCAGGAAGCCATTGTATGGATTGTTTCAATATAATTCCAGTATGATTGGACTAGAATCATTAGCTGATCCCTCAGATACCTGGGAAATTATAGAGACCATTGGGAAAGGCACTTATGGTAAAGTCTATAAGGTTGCTAATAAGAAAGATGGAAGCTTGGCAGCAGTAAAGATTCTGGATCCTGTCAGTGTAAGTAAAAAATGATAAACTGTAACTTCAATGTTAATTTAAAAGAATTCTTAAACTTGAAATGTAAATCAAATGTGTAACATATTGAGAACATCCAGAAGGGAAGAGTTTTACAGAATGCATTTACAGGAAGAGTTTAGTACCAGCAACTGAATGGCAACTTAGAATTTCATCATCTTCTCGGAGGACAGCATTTGCCTAGTTTCTGTTTTAGATCCTGAGGAATGCCACAGAGGCATTCCTCATAGGGCCCACTGTAGCAGGGAATATACAAGATGCAGTTCACTTTAATGTTCTTGTTTTATTCTGTGTACTCCCTAAAAGAATTAATTTTCACATTATAGAAACACTGTGAACTTTATGATATTTTACAGTTACCTTTTATACACAGATAATAGTGTGAGGCAATAATGAAGATGAAAAGAGAAGCAGACCTCCCAGATCCTCAGAGGTAGTTCTGTCCCAGCTCTGGTTTAGTGGGTATTAAATGCCTAGCTTCCCATGAGAACCAAAGCCCTAGTTTTCCATGGAAAATTTAACTGACAGCTGTTCAGGTTGGATCAAGCTGGAGTTTGACATGATAACTGGGCTAAAATATTTGCTAAAAAATGTTACGTTTCTGTCATCAACCACGACTGAAATCCATTGTGGTTTTCTCTTGTATGGATCTGAGGAAGGCACAGGCTTAAATTTTCTAATAGCCAAGTCTGTGCAGAAATGAGCAAAGTTTGAGCACTTAAGCACTGTTCTGAGTTGTGGCCTGTGTGCTGGTATAAACATTATTTTGTAACTGTCACAGAATTCTTTCATTAACAAGTACCTAGTAACCTTTTCCTATTTCATGGGTGGTTGTTTTGTGTCTCTTTCATTGTTTCTGGGCTATGTCATTCATTGTCAGACATATTTAGTTTTATTGATGGCCCCTTTGAGGCTTAGTGAAATGTTTCTCTGTTTAGTCCTATCTGATGACCGTAGAAAAAGGAATAAATCAATGGTTCATGTATTTAAGTTTAGCTCACATGTTAAAAGTATGCATGATTAAAAACAGGTTAAAAGTCATACATGTGTAAATTTCTTACACAACTGAGCAGAGTTAATTATAATTTTTAATTATCTTATTAAATATATTATGTACAGAAAGAATTCTTGAAGAATAACTGCTTGATTTACACAGGTTTTACTTTTTTATGTATAAGAAGAGCACAATTGTCACAATTCTATATGCATTAAATGTCCAGTATAGTGTACTTTTAGCTGCATGAAAGTAAAACTATTTAAAAGTACAAACTAAGAAAAATTCATTCATTTTATCCATGACAGTTTGTTCTTGCTTTATTTGGAGTCACTGTATTTGTATGTTCTGTATGTTTGTGTTTTTTATTTAGGATGTAGATGAAGAAATTGAAGCTGAATATAATATTTTGCAGTTTCTTCCCAATCATCCTAACGTTGTTAGATTTTATGGAATGTTTTACAAAGCAGATCAATATGTGGGAGGACAGCTCTGGCTAGTACTTGAGGTAAAAACATTTTGACGATATTACATCTTACCTTAGCATATGTGGTTGGATTTTTGTTTGTTATTGCTAAAAGAGTCACAGGCTTTCATGATTTTCTGATAGGATGATGTGTCCTAGCCTAGTGTTGAAAATCACATCCAAACTTCAAAATGTGTTTAATCGGAAATGGTCTTGCATTTAATTTCTGTTTGAGTTGCTACATTATGCCTCCAAAAAAAAAAAAGAGCTGCTTATTTTTTCTTGGAAAAAGAGGAAACATTAAATAAGACAAAAAGAGGAAACATTAGATAAGACATTTGTTTAAACTTTTTGGAGAACTCAAGCATTAGAGGAGAGTGCAAAGCATGATGAAGTAGTGACCTGGAGGGTAGTTAACAAATAAGCTGCCTCCTGCGAAAGTGAACAGAGAAAGTGTAATGGCAAAGTCTCTTCTATGGTGATTTTAAACCAAGGGCTGGTTGTTGTTGGAAACCTAGCAACAGAAATGCCTTCTATTCACTCTTCTTTTTCAGTGCCAATCAGTACTCTTACAATGTCAAATGTATTTTGGTCTTGTTTCCACTAAAGTGAGGTGATTGCCAAAGTTGGTTGTAAAAATGAGGATTTCTTTCTTGGCTTAATTGATGCAGCACTCTGCACAGGCAAACCATTCAAGCATTTCTTTCCTTCATAACTAGACTGGTAAAAGCTGGGACTCACTTTTTAATTATTGATTGTTTTAAAAATTCCACTCCCCATTCTTAAATGGGGAATCTTTATTTCCACTACAACTTGTGGAATCCCAGTAGAATATCTAACTTTTATGTACTGGAGCAGTATGTAGCTTGAATAACAACTTTTGAATGTGTTTCCTCTTAAATTTCAGTAACTTTTGAAAAGTGACCTTAGTATTTTTGATTTGGTGTTGGTTTTTTTGTATACATGCTATCTTTGTGTTGAGTTTGGGCTTCGTTTCCTTTGTGTTTTCTTTTTTAATAAAATTGTCTTGTGCCAAAGATGAAGTGCCAAATGACAGAGTTTTATGGAACAAAATCCTCGTATGCTCTGAAATAAAACTGAATGTAGAATTTGAACAAGTTGTGGGTGTACTTTATCAGTATGCATTTCAGGTGACTTTTGGTACACATAATCCAGATTTTGGAAGAAATTTGACATTATAAAAAATGTGTTTTTCTTATATGGAACAATTTATCAGACAACCCAAACTATTCCTTGCCTTGGAATTTACAGCATATTTATCCATGCATAACAGTGACTTGTGATATTATAAATTAATGACTCATTTTCAGTAAAAGGGAATATACAAAGTATTCAGACTTTGATTCCTGAGTCTTTGATGAAATACGGTTATTTGATGTGTGACTTCCAAAATTTGTAATAAAAAGATGGATTTTTTTTTCCTTCAGGCGCAATTTTGCCATGTTTACTCACTACAAGCAGGAACTTAACTTTGATAAATGTTTGTGATGAGGAAGGGTGGCAAAAGTGACACCTTAAGTATTTTTATGATGATGCAAGTCTTGGACAAATGGAAAGCAAACTTCTCAACTTTATCATATAATTGTGCAGCTCTATGCCTGTTGAAGTATTACCATTAGGTGTAAAGTGGTAATGAAGGTGACAGATTCATTTTGTTGGAGGTCTGTGCTGAGTTTCAAGAATAGTGACACTGCTGCAGGGGTGTTTGTGGGATACATTTTTGAGTCAGGCATTCATTTACCATATCCTACCAAACAGCTGTCAGTCTGTATTAGTTTTCAGTTGTGACCAGTTGGGGTGATTTTTAAGTTCAGGCATTCTTTTATATATTTTATTTGTAGGCTAGAGATAAATTTGGTATAGTCTAAATTTATTTAATTTATTAATTTATTATTTATAATTAATTAATTAATTCATTTATTTATTTATTAGACCATTATTTAAATGGTCTAAACAGAACATTTAATGCAATGAAAGCAATACGAAGAAAACTTTAGCTCAATGACTTGTCAGCAAATGGTTAACCATGGGAAGAATAACATGCAGTTTCATGTAAATACATCAAATTTCTTTTGGTCGTTGATACTGACTTGAATGCTCCCACAAATTTATGAAATATAAGAAAAACATTCCCTGCTAATGAATTAAAAAAATAAAGCCAAATTCCTACAGAACTTGTCAATATTTTAAGTGATGAAATTTTGCTTCAAGGTCCTTTTCCATTAACTCAGACTTCTAGTCTAGTGAATTTTTTTTGATGCAAGGGGAAGTTATTAATAAGGTAAGGAAAGTATTAGCATATAACAGAAATTAGTGGTTGAATTGATGCACATTCTTTCATAAAAGCTATTTGAAAGATGCAAATCTTGAGTTTGTATAACTTCATACTATTTTCCTGATTTATGCTGTGGTATTTTAAACTGATAATGTTAAATGAACTTGTGTTGAAATGCATGTGATTCTCTGGCAGGAATATTGGTAAGGGTGCTGGCCACAAACCAGCATAGATGAGAAAATTCAGCAAAAGAAAGGCAGTCAATTCTCCCATCTTTTTCTTTTTTGGTCAAACAATTGTGAATATCAAGGTAATTAAAGGAAAGAGAGAGGAGAAAGGATGGATATCAATACCTGCTTAGAATGGTATGGACAGTAAACTTAAGGTGTGGATGACAACACATTTTCAAAGATTCTAATTTTACCTTTTCTCCTCTTCTTTTGATGTTTAGAAGCCAATTAGTAGAAAATGCTTGCAAGAAACTGCTTCTCTAGATTAGAATGTTTCTCTGTTATTGACAGTATATGGCATCAAATCTGAGTATAGATATATGGCTTCTATCTATTTTATATTGCCTGCCATCAGGAGCATTGATGGAGTGAAAGTTTAAAATGACTAATTTGTTGCTTCCCAGTTATCAAGAGCATCAATCTTTTCTGTCTGGCCTTTGCAGAGAAGGATTTTTTCAAAAAGACAATGCACGTATTGTGAAAACACTCAAATAATGTAAATTGGATTTATGAATCTTCTTTTGAGATACAGTCTTGTTCATATTATTTTGATCTTTTTTGTTGCCTTTTATAAATTGCACTTTACAATTTTCGGTTTTCTCTTCCCTCCCTTTACTCAGGCTGCTGTGATTTTTATTAACATCACCAATAAAAGGAGTTCTGTTGTTCCCTGTCTTGTGTTGTAGCACAATTTTGCATGGTAGGTGTTTATAGCCTAAACAAGTATATTGAGTAACTGAGGACTTGCTTTTTTTCCCTCCTCACAACTCCCCCTTTCCAGCTGTGCAATGGAGGTTCTGTCACAGAGCTTGTCAAGGGCCTGCTGAAGTGTGGCCGAAGACTGGATGAAGCTGTTATCTCATACATCTTATATGGGGCTCTCTTGGTAAGGATCTTCACTGGGCTTGCAATGGCAGCAGAGGCTGCAGTTCGCTTATTGCATCCATACACTCTCCATTTATAGAGTGTGGGAGTGGGAGCAATAGTGCATGTGCTGTTACAACAGCAGGGGTTGTATAAAGGCATGTCATCCAGTGGACAGCTGTTTCTGTAGAGTGGGTGCAGATTTTCTTCATTACATTCCCTAATAACAGGGTAATTGTTTTTAAATAAGGGAATAAACTTATTTTTCTTACTGCTGGTATATAGGGCCTTCAGCATTTACACAATAACCGGATCATCCATCGGGATGTGAAAGGGAACAACATTCTCCTGACAACAGAAGGTGGAGTCAAGCTCGTTGACTTTGGTAATGACCACTTGCCCTTTGTTTTCTTGATACATGCAGTTTAGCCAAAGGCTCTGTTCACTTTCCCCTGGGAAGGCAGAATGTCACAGTGAGACTTTTTCAGAAGCATACTCAGAATTATTTTAAGAAGGAAAAATGCAAAAGGAACCTGGTTAGAGCAAGCATAAAACTTCTAACTAAAAATCAGTAACAGAGTTTTAATTTTTAAAAGCTTAAACATAATTTAATAATTCTTAAAATTCTGAAGCTAGCATTTTATTTGCAAAGCTTTTTTGCATTTTAGAAGAAATGTCAGTTTCAGGGCAGTTGTCCTCCTAATTTAAATTTAGATATTCTGTCTTTTGCATATGAAAAGGAAACATTCTTTCTGAAATGCTTTTGATAGCCTTAAGCATATTTTTTCCCCTCAGAAGGTAAAATACTCCCTTGGGTCCAAAACCCAACATCCATTTAATTAGTGATTATTGCTCTTAGATTTGAGCATTGCCAGTCTGGATATGTCATAAGAAACAAGAGAGAGAAAGGGAGGAAGGGTGGTACAAAGGCACTTGGCAATGGGTTTAAAGTCAGTTCAGATTTTATTCCTTTGAATGCGCACTTAGAAAAAACAATAAACAGAACTTTTGTCCCTCAGATAAGTGTGCAAGGGAGTGGACAATTTTATTAAAAGTAACAGAAGCATATCATTAGTGATGTGATTTATTAATGAAAACATATAATGCATAAGGTAATCGCCATTGAAAATAGTGAATGAATGATATGTTTGTTTAGCAGTTCATGAAGGTAAAGAAAAATGTTCATAAAATGAGAGTAGAGTAGAATGATATGTCAAAAAAATCTGCAAATAATATTTTTTAAAAATACTAAAATATTAAATTTATACAGTGGAAAGAAAATTGTGTACTGGTGATGTCATGGTATTATAAATTTAACACATATATTTATTGAAGATGCTAAAGTAAGTTGTCACATAAGAGATTCCTTAGTATCTACTAGGGACAAAATTTCATTATTTGAATTATAAAGGCAGCAATGAAAATAGTGCTAGGAGAAACTTATGACCTGAAGCAAAACTTGGAGTGAGTCCCTGACCTAACAGAAGAGAAGAATAGCCCTTCTCATTTGGGGGAATTTTGGCAGTCTAATCTTTGTTTTTACTCCATTTTGGGAAAAGTTAGCTTTTCTCCCCAAAGCAAAGTGTTTTTATCAGATGTATTAAAGGCCTTAAAGACAGGCCAGTGTGCTCCTCCCCCAAGTGGCACATTCAGTGAAACTGAGACTCCCAATCTTTCTGGTGTCCCATGGGTCTCTGAGTCTATATTTAGGTTTCAGAGGTTTTATCTTACTTTGTATGTTAGGACAGTAGCACTAGAAAATTGCAACAAATACGACAGGCTCAGAAAAAAATGAGACTTAAATCTCAAATGTTCCCTACTGCTTAACAGTTAGGAAATGTCAAGAAATGCCAATATGTCCATGGGCTTTCTGACTAAAGAAGTATCAGGTGCCAAGCTTTTAAGTTGCTCTTTTTCCTGCCTTAGTCCACTGCTACAGCCACAGAACCGTCTCTGGGAATTAGGACTGAGTCACAGGTGATATTGTTTGTAGAACTGTTTTGTCTCATTTTTTTTGCAGAAAGTAGAAGATAAATAGTGAAATTCCAAGGAATTCAGGAAGAGAAGGGACTCGCAGTTGAGACAGTTGAATGACATCAAATTGGAGATTATTCTTGCTTCTGCTGGAGGGTCACTTATATCAAACTCAGCTCCTCATTTTCCCAGTAGTCAGTTTGAAACATATTGTCCTGCTTTGCAGAAGAACTGTGTGTTCTTGAGCTGCAGCTGAGATCTGTTATAGCTGTACTTGAGGCTTGTGGAATGCCTGACAATTGAAAGATCTCAGATTAAGTTCCCAAACACAGTGGATGCTTTGGATATTTTTAGGTTAATCCCTGGAACTAATAATCCTCTGCCATTTTGTGGGAATGTTAAGTAGATTTGTTGCTTTGTGAGTGGGGAAGGAAATATGTCAAAAGAAAAAGAAAATAATAATTTTAAATTTAGTATAGGATTGGATATATTAAATAAGAAATGAGAATTCAAGTCAATGGGGTAAAATAATTAAATTATGACCTATTCAGTCAATGTTATTCTTTCAGTTGAGAGAATGAGGCAGAATCTTGATTTTAAAAAAGCTGCTTCATATTCAAGGCTGTACATATGGATATTAGGTCTCAGAGAGGGTTACACAGATATCTTTAATTGAGGCTTTTCTTTACTGGATGACTTCACAGCTTATTTTTTCAACGTAACGCACATTTCTTCCCTCAACGGCTGTTGACAGCATAATATATTTGAATAAATGATGGTCACAGTAAATTGACCTAAAATGTCTGCAACTTATCATTCATTTGTACTTAAGCTCACCCTCTCTCAGCTCTTTGGTGTTCTGTTTTGGAAAATCCCTAGACAACAGCTGTGAATTAAGGTGGCTGCAGAGAGATCACAGTGAAATGAACAGAGGCTTGTTGTATGTACTAACCCTGAACTGTTTCCAGCAGTGCTCACAAAATCACTGAAGGCTTGCAATTACACTGGAAAATTAAAAACAAATGTAAAATTGAATGTTGGAATCAGAAATCAAACAATTTAACTTACGAGTCTAATTTTTATTGGCAGCAGTCAATGCATATTATATGCGTTTCTGTTCATTTTTGTCTCTGGGTAATGCCAAAAGAGCAAACCTCTGTGGCTTTTGTTTTTAAAAAAATTTAAAGCAAAATATATTTCTAAGTTAATATTGGCTTTTGTGTCACCTCATTGGAATGCTGCTGAACTGAACTCATTCAATTATATGTTGACCAGAGCACAGAAGATTTGCTGTCAAAGTTCATTCTGATTTGTTAACGTTGTTGGATTGCACTCCAGTTAATTCTTTTGTTTTTTTCAGTTGTGCTTCAGTAGTCCAGCCCCAGTCAGCAAAGCTCTGAAGCTAATGTTTTGTTTTAAGTATGTGTTTAATTCCCTAAGTACAAGCTGCTGTGTGAGCTTGAGCTTCTGAGCTTTTCTCATTAGGGAAAGATTTAAGCAGATGCATAAGTGTTTTGTTGAACTAATGAACAAATTCCCTGTTTGTGATGTTCAGGCAGTTCATTTCTGAAACAGAAGTTTTAAAGTCATGTTGTAATTTTAATAGTTCGCATTTATACTTATGAAAACAGCAGAAAGAAATCTGGGATATTTGTGTGACAATGGAATTTTTGAGTTTGAATGAAAGTGCTACAAACAGAGTCATTCACAAAAAAAAAAATCTCTGATAAACTGAAGAAAACAGCAAATTGAAATCAATCAAACAAATAATTTACACCTACTTTGGCCAGGCATTCTGCATCTGTGCTCACAGGTTTGGATTTTGTTTTCCAGATACTTGAAATAAACTTAGTGAAATGACAGTAAATTTGAAGCCAAGTTTCTTTCTCTGTTTTGTTGTAGGTGTTTCAGCCCAGCTCACCAGCACAAGGCTCCGTAGAAACACCTCAGTGGGAACCCCCTTTTGGATGGCACCTGAGGTAGGCAAATGTGCCTCTCTGGCTTCTCTCCATTCATTGCAATACAGACTTCATTGCCACTTCCCCATGGCAGGAGAGGATCTTTTCTTCCCTCTCTTATGGCTGTGTTTCTGCTTTACATCTTGTCCTCTGTTCAGTAAAAGTAACATACTATTAGAGTATACAAAATGGATTTCTAATAACCATTACTTTCTTCTCTGTAGTGTTTCCATAAAATTACAGCAAATCTACAAATAAGTGAGTGTCCTAAGAATGTTATGAATTTCCAGTTAAATGTTGTATATGTTGGGGTGCTCGTCCGTGATGTAAATACAGACTGGGGGAGAAGGAGGAATTCCTTCTTTCCAGTCTTGCTGTAGTCTTGCACACTGCAAAACCCTGAGTGACCTATGTGTTCTTTAGCCTTAATCATTAACTGGGGCCTTTAAACTTAGACGCATGGGTGTAAAAAATTTATAAAGACACATAGATTTAAAAATTGATAAAGATAATATACAGGTAGCTTAGCCCATTTTCAAGTATCTTACATGATTTTACATACTACTATCCAGACATAACCCTTTGCCTTCTATTTCATGAAGCTTTAAATGTTTTAACACACTGTTGAACAAAAGCTTGTACTTTACCAAAGTAAAGTTTGTTCAACAATGTGTTTTATCTTTACAAGATATCAATCTTTGCGCTCCCTGCTTTAAGGGACACAAAGTACTTCTAAAAGATATGGATTATGAAATTTAAAAACAAGGATTGAAACAGGAGTTGTCTGTAAGTTGTTCAGCCTTTGTAACAGAACAAGCCTCTTTTCTGGTAATTTTGGGGAATTTGGGATGGAATTTATCTATTACAAATGCACACAGGTCTATTTCTGTAGGTTGAAGAGTTAAAAGTATTGTGCAAACATTTGTTTTAAAACATTTCATAATTTTTATGCATCTGTTTTTGTTGCTAAGGAGGGCTGATTATAGCTGAGCAGAGAAAATACACTGCAGTAAGGGGTCTAAAATTGATCTTGCACAGTGTCACAAAGAGTGGTTGATATTTCACCATCTCCATAACAACCAGTTTACGTCACAAAGGAGACACAAGATACCTTAGAAACCACTGTGAAAGCATTATTTATGGAATCACCTTGGTTGGAGACATTTCTAAAATGAAACCTCTATAAAATACTTCTCTAGATAATAATGGACATATTATGAAAGATTTTATTGAACGTGGATTATAATAGGTTCTTTTTGTGGTTCTGTTTTGCTTGAATAATTACCATCAAGGGCAGTAATTATACCAAATTTATTTTCCCTGCCATGTTGAAGATATTTGTTCTCGTGGCAGAAAGCCAAAGAGAAAAGCAGATATTTTGATCTGAAAAATTTTGACTTGAAAGTACAGCACACATGTAATCAACGTATGTTATGTACCTGGCATGTCAAACAGGAACAGGTGTAGCTTTGAATTCTTCCTGCTTTGAAAAGATCTCTTCAAGAACCAACCCAGTAGCATAGCCATAGTAACCCATATTACATTTCCATGCCTGTGTGAGACACACCAGGCTCCATAGGTGTGCCAATCTGCACAACAGCTGTAAGGTGCTTAGATATCCATTATGCTGTTGTTGGAATGGCTTTTAAATGACAGGTTGCATAACATGCTTGCTCAAATCACTGCAGTTGCTCATATAAATGACAGGTTTCAAGTGATGTGCAGGATGCATGCAATTTACTTTATTTCTGGGGAGATCTTTCTGGTATTTTTAAAATATGCACCCAGATTTTTATGGGAAAGATGGAAGATTAGGACTGCAATAAAACAAAAAGAAAATGAAAAGGTATGCTTGGGTAACAGTTTATTAGGAAGAGTGTTTTCTAGATGAGATTGTGGTGAGATCAGTAAACACTAGAATGGCACTTAACTCAATTTTTTGCACTCATTTACAAAGAATCTTCCTGCCTAAAGGTTTTTGACATGGGATAGAATTTATTTCAAACTCCAAAATATCATAAAATAACTGAATGGAAATGAAATGTTACTAATCAGAGAAATAAAAAGCATGAAGGATTTTTTTTGCAATTGGACTTCATCTACATGTGAAACATAGGTACCTCAGTCAATGCATAAGGTAATCATGGGGTCTCATCTGGCAATGAGAAGGATGGATTTAATCTGAAAGAGGAGTGAAGAGGGGAGATGCAAAAGTTTGCCTTGGAGGAAGAGACTTCAGAATAGAATAAAGCTGACAGGAAATATTTTCCAGTGTAAACCCCAAGAAAATAAAACCTGGGGAAGAATGCTGCTGGATGTTTAAGGCTGACAGATAGGAATAACTGGATATAAGCAGGAGACAAACACACTGAAAACTGGAATCAATAGATCAACCTGGGTCACAAATGGTCTATGAAATGAAGAAAACCACCTTTTAAGATTAAGTTTGCAAAATATTTCAAAGGGATTATATGGCATGGTACTTGAAATAGCAGAAGCTCATAGGAAAATAGCATTGTCTGAGGGTGGTGTAAGGAAGGTGTTCAACTCTGTTCTTACTGACAGCTTTGAAAGTAGCAGCTTAACTGCTTAATATTTGAGTGACTCAAGCATCTTGGCTCCTTTTTTTTTGATGACTCTGAGGCTTGCTTAGCAGTATCAGGACAAAAAAGATCTGTCCTTGAGCATTTGTTTTGAGCAGAGCTTGCGATTCACAAAAATTTTGCTGAAAAATGAAAATACAGGTAAAAATTAGGCTGTGAGGAAGCAACAGAGAATGTGACAAGGATAAGTCAGTTTGAGAGCAGCTTTAAAGCAGACTCACTGAAAATGAATAATTGTTGTTCAACCTAATAATATTTTTTAATGCTTATAAATGTAGACTCTCAGAAACTGAAACACTGAATCCAAGCATACCAATAAAAGATAAATAAGGCAGGATAGTGTTAGTGTGTTTAAAGCTGCCTGTTATCAAACACTTAAATTACCTAAAATCTGCTTCTGTTGTGCTGAAATAAATTGTGTTATGTGCTAGCAGGATGAATCAGATTTGAAGCTTTTGTACTGAACTGCCTTAACATCTGTTTTAAGCATTAACATGTCTTGTTTTCAACTTCCAGTGCGCAACTGAACAAAATCTAGTTCAAGCAGAATTTGAGATTTCTTTTTCCACACATACGAGTAGATTATAATGATCTAGCTGAAAACTTGACTCTTGAAACAAACTCAGAATATCATAGAATAACAGGGTTATAGAGTCAAGTAGGTGGAAAAGACCTCTGAGATCACTGAGTCCAGCCTATGACCAGCTGTTATGTCAACTAGACCAGGGCACAGAGTGCCACTTTCCTTAAGCGCTTCTGGGGATTGGGCCTCCATCACTTCCCTGGGCAGTCCATGTTTAATGTTTATGTTTAATCACCCTTGCTGTAAAGAAATTCTCCATGTCCATCCTAAACCATCCCTGACATAGCTTAAGACTATGACCTCTTGTCCTGGTTCAGATTGCCTTGAAAAAGAGGCTGCCCCCACCTGGCTCCACCCTCCTTGCAGCAAGTTGTAGAGAGTGATGAGCCTCCTCTTCTCCAGGCTGAACACCCCCAGCTCCCTCAGCTGCTCCTCCTAGGACTTGTGCTCCATACCCTTCCCCAGCTTTGCTGCCCTTCTCTGGACCTGTTCCAGCACCTCAATGTCCTCTCTGAATTGAGGTGCCCAGAACTGGACACAGCACCCAAGGTGTGACCTCACCAGTGCTGAGTACAGGGGGACAGTCACTGTCCCAGCCTTGCTGGCCACACTGTTCCTGACACAGGCCAGGATTGCCCATTGGCTTTCTTGGCCACCTGGGCACACACTGGCTCATGTTCAGCTGCTGTTGATCTTTTCCCACTGGGCCACTTCTCAGTCATTCTGTCCTCAGCCTGTAGCGCTGCATGCTCAATCCCTTTAATCAGTAAAATATTAAATAGGACTGGGCCCAGCGCTGATCCCTGGGGAGCACCACAAGTGGGCAGACACCCACTGGATGTAGCACCATTCACCACCACTCTGTGGCCCAGCCTTCCAGCCAGTTCTTCACCCAGCAAAGAGTGCTCCTGTCCAAGCTCTGTGCTGCCAGCTTTTCCAGGAGTGTGCTCTAGGAGGTTGTGTCAAAGGACCATCAAGTCCAGGTAAACAGCATCCACAGCCTTTCCCTCACCCACTAGGCAGATCACCTGGCCAAAAAGGGAGGTCAGGTTTATCGGGCGGGACCTGCCCTTCCTGGCTGGGTAGGATCCCTTGGTTGTCCTATATGTACCGTGTGATTACACTCAAGACGATGTGCTGAATGTACAGATATATGTACATATTTGGCCCAAATTTAGTTTTAAGAATGGAAATAGAACAAGATACTTGAAGTGAGAAAGAACTGGAGAGATGCTGAAGATAATTTAAAACTGCAGGGAATATGCTGTTATATTTTACTGATAACTGCTAAATATGACACTGGTGAATGTATATTTATATTTTAAAAGGAACATAATTAAAACATGGTTGATCCTTTGAAGGATTAGGTGTTGAATTATGACATATGACACATGTATAGGAAAGGCTGTGATATTGTGGTAAAGATATATGAATTCTGTAATAATGAGTTAACCACAGGTAAAATCTTGGGTCTATTTTCCTATTTTCAGAGATATTTCAGATGTCACAGTATCATTTAAAGCTGTTTCAGCTCTGTGTTTTGAGTATTTGTTACCATGCTGGCAGGCGGAAGTAATGGTCAGTAAGATTGCCCCAGACACAGTTTCCCATTCTCCTGCTGAATCAAGGCATTCTCCTGGGATAAAATTCAGTACATCTGAGGATCAGAATCAATTTCCAAAGTGTTAGAACAGTAGGTAAATAGCTTAAATTGTCTTTCTTTTCCGAACGTTCCTTTGTATTCTTTTTAAACTTTAAATCTGATCATGTGCGTGTGAAATAAGTCTAATCCTGAAACAATGAATAATATTTGCATTGTTTCAGTACCAAGTTGT